CTATATAATAAAAGGCTAATATGCAAATTGACCAAACAGCAGAACAACAGGTCTATGACGCACACTGACCACCAGGGGGCAGGCACTCAATGCAGAAGCTGCCCCCTGGTGGTCAGTATGCTCCCACCACAGGGGAAGTGCCCCTGAGCCAGAAGCCCAGCTCATGGCAGCCCTACAGATGTCCAACTGCCAGCTTAGGCCCGCTCCCCAGGCCTAAGCTGTCAGTCAGACATCCCACAAAGGCTCCCAGACTGCAAGAGGGTGGGCACAGCCTGGGCTGAGGGGACTCCCCCAACCCTAACCAGTGCATGAATTTTGTGCACCAGGCCTCTAGTTAGAGATTATTATTGTTATTGTTATTGTTATTAGATAGTGAGAGCACCTTGTAGATGTTGAGCAGTTTTGCATGCATGTTTCCCAATCCCTAAAGCAAACTGTTGGGCAGTTTTCCCTAAAGACAGAGCCTAAGCCACTTAACATCACAGTCCCTGGAAGGCCTCAACTGTGGGCACAGAAAATGTGCTCAGGAAACGATATCTGAGGGACAACGGGATACAGAACCCCATAACTATACACTGAACAACATGTACAGTGCCAGGATGGATGGATGAATGAATGAATGAATGAATAACAGCTGGGAGAAATGTATCTACCCCCTTGCTCTTTCTTTTCCTACAGAACTGCCTTGACCCAGCCTGGTCCCCATGAGCTCTGTCACTAAGACTGGCCTCTCCATTTCTGCAAAAGGCACCTTCTCACAGAGAACCCTCAGATGCACAAACCCCAAGTCCTTCGAGCTGGATCAGCAGCTCCTGCCCTAAGGCCTGAAATACCATCACTGCCCCCAGTCCTACACTCCAACTCTCTCCCATTACTATAGCAGTAGCACAATAAGTCCCCAAAATCCAGGCCAACCTCCATTCCCAGGAGGTTCTGTACATCCCTTAATCTGATCCCATTTCCCTCCCCTTCCCAACTCCTAAACTCAAGTTCACTGTGCTTTCTGGAGCCCTCAGAAGGTGTTCAGCATAACCCCTCAGATCCTTGATATCTGACAGTACCTTCTTGCTCTAAATTAGGAGTCAGCAAACTTTCTCTGTAAACTGCACATAAAAGTTGTATGTATTGGTTTCCTATAGCTATTATAATAAATTACTATAAACTTAGTAGCTTAAAATAACACATTTATTCTCTGGAAGTCAGAAGTCCAATTGGGTTATATTTGGCTAAATCAAGGTGTCAGCAGGGCTGGGTTCCTTTTGAAAGCTCTACAGGGGATTATATTTCCTTGCCTTTTCCAACTTCTGGGAAGTGGCCCGGATTTCTTGGCTCATGGCCCCTTCCTCCATCTTCAAAGTGTGTCACTCCAACTTCTGCTTCTGTCATCACATCTTCTCTGACTCTCTTGCCTCCTTTCTATGATGGCCTTGGACCCACCCAAATAATCCAGAATAATTTCCCAATCTCAAGATCCGAAACATGTTCAAAGTTTGCTTTGTAAGGTAACATTCACAAGTACTGGGAATTAGGATATAAGTATCTTGGGGGGAGGGGGGGCATTATTCTGTCCACGACACCACTCTTAGTTTGTGAGCCCTACAAAATGAAGCAGAGGTTACAATATGCTGCAGTAATTTCATTCTGCAAAGAATGAAAACGGTGACTCAAACATATCATTGTATAGTGGAGTTCACAGCATCATTATTCACAATAGCCAAAAGGTACAAACCACCCCACTGTTCATCAACTGATGAATGGATAAATAAAACATGGACTATCCATACAATAGAATATTATTCAGCCTTAAGAAGGAATGAAGTTCTGATACATACCACATCATGGATGAACCTTGAAAACATAATGCTAAGTGAAATAAACCAATACAAAAGATCAAGTATTGTATGATTCCACTCATGTGAAATATCTAGAATAGGCAAATTCATTAAGACAGAAAGTAGATTAGAGGTTACCAAGGGCTGGAGGGATGAGTGAATGGGAAGTTATTGCTTAAGGAGTATGGAGTTCCTGTTTGGGGTGATGAAAACTTTTGGAAATAGATAGTGGTGATGATGGTACAACATCGTGAATGTAATTAATGCCACTGAATCATACACTTTAAAATGGTTTAGTTGGCAAATGTAATGTTATATATATTTTACCACAATTTTTAAAAAAAATAAAACAGCCACCCGGCTGGTGTAGCTCAGCAGTTGAGCATCTACCCAGGAACCAAGAGGTCATTGGTTCAATTCCTGGTCAGAGCACATGCCTGGGCTGCGAGCTCAATCCCCAATATGGGGCGTGCAGGAGGCAGCCAAACAATGATTCTCTCTCATCATTGATGTTTCTATCTCTCTCTCCCTCTCCCTTCCTCTCTGAAATCAATAAAAATATTAAAAAAAAAAAAAAAGTTAAACAGCCTTGGCCAGGTGACTCAGTTAGTTGGAGCATCGTCCCATACACCAAAGGTTGTGGGTTCGATTCCCTGTCAGGGTACATATGGGAGGCAAGCAAGTGCGATGTTTCTTTTTCTCTCTCGTCAATTAAAAAAAATATGTATCAGTGGGCTGGCTTTAGCTTATGCACAGTAGTTTTCCCTCACTTCCCTCCTTATCTGGCTTAGAATTCATAGTCTATCAATATAATCATCTTACATACACTTTCCCTTTCAAGTCTAATAACCCCACCTGCCCTGCACCTACCCCCCAAGCAGAACAGGGCTGGGAAAAGGAAATCCCACAACCTTACTGAGTGACCTTATTTTTAATCCTTACCTGAGGATATTTTTCCATTGATTTTTAGAAAGAGTGGAAAAGAGAGGGAAAGACAGAGAGAAACATCAATATGAGAGAAACACATCGATTGGTTGCCTCCTGCATACAGCCCCAACTGGGGCCCGGGCCAGGGCAGAGCCTGCAAACGTGGTACATGCCCTTGACTGGAATCGAACCCAGGACCCTTTGGTCCACAGGCCAACGCTCTATCCACTGGGCCAAACCAGGCAAGGGCAAGTGATCTTATTTTTAAATGCCAGACCAAGATCCTGGAGTGGATCTTGGATAGCTAGTAGTCGCTTTATATTGCCCAGTACATTCTCTCTCCCACCTTCTCCTTTCAGCAAGACCTCTATCACCTCCTCCTGCTCCTCACTCTCAGCTCATGACCTCACATCCTGTTTCTCTGAGAAAATGGAAACAATTAGAAGAAAACTTATCCCTAGAAATATATAACCTTCCTAGACTAAATCATGAGAATTGGAAAATCTAAATAGACCAATCAGCAATGAGGAAATTGAAACAACCATCAAAAATTTCCCAAAAAACAAAAGTCCAGGACCAGATGACTTCACCAGTGAATTCTACCAAATATTCAAAGAACATTTAAGACCTATCCTTCTCAAACTCTTCCAAAATAATTGAAGAGGCAATACTTCCTAGCACATTTTATGAGGCCAACATAACCCTGATACCAAACCTGGCAAGGATAACACAAAGAAAACTACAGACTAATATCTCTGATGAATACAGATGCAAAAATCTAAACAAAATAGTAACAAATGGAATACAATAATACCTCAAAAATAATCATAATACATCACAATCAAGTGGGGTTCATTCCAGGGGCACAAGGGTGGTTCAACATATGCAAATCTATCAAGGTAATACACCACATTACATAAGAAAGGGTAAAAAGCATATGATTTTATCAATAGATGCAGAAAAAGCATTTGATAAGATACAACATCCATTTATGATTAAAACAATAAGATAGGAATAGAAGGAAAGTACTTCAACATACCAAAGGCCATATATGACAAGCCTTCAGCCAGCATTATACTCAACAGTAAAAACCTGAAAGCTTTTCCTCTAAAATCAAGAACAAGACAAGGATGCCCACTCTCAGCACTCTTATTCAACACTAGAGGCCTGCACTGGAGGGGTGGTCCCTCAGCCCGGCCTGTGCCCTCTTGCAGTCTGGGACCCCTCGCTCCTTACCTCCCACCTGCTTGCTGCTCCTTACCGCTCAGCTCACTGCTCCTTAGTGCTGCCGTGGTAGTGGGAGAGGCCAGCCATGAGCCCAGCTTCTGGCTGAGCAGCACTCCCCCTGTGGGAATGCACTGACCACAAGGGGGCAGCTCCTGCATTGAGCATCTGCCCCCTGGTGGTCAGTGCATGTCATAGCAACTGGTCGTTCTGCCGTAATGGTTGCTTAGGCTTTTATTATATAGACTAGAGGCCCGGTGCACAAAAATTTGTGCACTCGGGGGAGAGGGGGGTCCCTCAGCCCGGCCTGTGCCCTCTCGCAGTCTGGGACCCCTCAGGAGATAACGACCTGCTGACTTAGGCCTGCTCCAGGGTGGCAAAGGGCAGGCCCAATCCCTAGATGCAGCTCCTGGTCGGGCTCAGAGCAGGGCCGATTGGGGAGTTGGGGCGCCGCCCCCTGTCATGCACAGAGCAGGGCCCGTGGGGTGGGGGGGGGGTTGGGGCACCGCCCTCTGTCACACTCAAGGCAGGGTCGATGGGGAGGGTGCGGCGCCACCCCGTCATGCACAGAGCAGGGCCCGTGGGGTGGGGGGGGGGTTGGGGCACCGCCCTCTGTCACACTCAAGGCAGGGTCGATGGGGAGGGTGCGGCGCCACCCCGTCATGCACAGAGCAGGGCCCGTGGGGTGGGGGGGGGGTTGGGGCACCGCCCTCTGTCACACTCAAGGCAGGGTCGATGGGGAGGGTGCGGCGCCACCCCGTCATGCACAGAGCAGGGCCCGTGGGGTGGGGGGGGGGTTGGGGCACCGCCCTCTGTCACACTCAAGGCAGGGTCGATGGGGAGGGTGCGGCGCCACCCCGTCATGCACAGAGCAGGGCCCGTGGGGTGGGGGGGGGGTTGGGGCACCGCCCTCTGTCACACTCAAGGCAGGGTCGATGGGGAGGGTGCGGCGCCACCCCGTCATGCACAGAGCAGGGCCCGTGGGGTGGGGGGGGGGTTGGGGCACCGCCCTCTGTCACACTCAAGGCAGGGTCGATGGGGAGGGTGCGGCGCCACCCCGTCATGCACAGAGCAGGGCCCGTGGGGTGGGGGGGGGGTTGGGGCACCGCCCTCTGTCACACTCAAGGCAGGGTCGATGGGGAGGGTGCGGCGCCACCCCGTCATGCACAGAGCAGGGCCCGTGGGGTGGGGGGGGGGTTGGGGCACCGCCCTCTGTCACACTCAAGGCAGGGTCGATGGGGAGGGTGCGGCGCCACCCCGTCATGCACAGAGCAGGGCCCGTGGGGTGGGGGGGGGGTTGGGGCACCGCCCTCTGTCACACTCAAGGCAGGGTCGATGGGGAGGGTGCGGCGCCACCCCGTCATGCACAGAGCAGGGCCCGTGGGGTGGGGGGGGGGTTGGGGCACCGCCCTCTGTCACACTCAAGGCAGGGTCGATGGGGAGGGTGCGGCGCCACCCCGTCATGCACAGAGCAGGGCCCGTGGGGTGGGGGGGGGGTTGGGGCACCGCCCTCTGTCACACTCAAGGCAGGGTCGATGGGGAGGGTGCGGCGCCACCCCGTCATGCACAGAGCAGGGCCCGTGGGGTGGGGGGGGGGTTGGGGCACCGCCCTCTGTCACACTCAAGGCAGGGTCGATGGGGAGGGTGCGGCGCCACCCCGTCATGCACAGAGCAGGGCCCGTGGGGTGGGGGGGGGGTTGGGGCACCGCCCTCTGTCACACTCAAGGCAGGGTCGATGGGGAGGGTGCGGCGCCACCCCGTCATGCACAGAGCAGGGCCCGTGGGGTGGGGGGGGGGTTGGGGCACCGCCCTCTGTCACACTCAAGGCAGGGTCGATGGGGAGGGTGCGGCGCCACCCCGTCATGCACAGAGCAGGGCCCGTGGGGTGGGGGGGGGGTTGGGGCACCGCCCTCTGTCACACTCAAGGCAGGGTCGATGGGGAGGGTGCGGCGCCACCCCGTCATGCACAGAGCAGGGCCCGTGGGGTGGGGGGGGGGTTGGGGCACCGCCCTCTGTCACACTCAAGGCAGGGTCGATGGGGAGGGTG